CCAAGCCACTCAGCTTATGACACTTTATTACATCAGCCCTGTGAAGCTAATGCAGGAACATTTAGACTTCTGAACTACTTGAGGGGAGAAGTGTTCCTTCTTTTTTCTGCTTTAAATGTTTGATATAATTTATCAGTTAAAATGTTTATGACCCTGCTGTTGTCATATAGGTAGGTTTTCAAGCTAGGAATATACTTTCTTCTATTCCCTTCCCCTGCCAACCCCAGAAACTCAAAGCTTGTTTTAAAACTTGGGGCAGAAGCAGTGATGATTCAGGAGCCAAGCACCAGGACTGAGAAAAGCTGGAAAGACCACCTCTGTAGCTGCACATAGAAACAGCCTGCAGTCCTGGGGCAACAGCAGTCTTTGCCCTGAGGCACTGACTGCAGAGGTGGTCAGGGGTAAGAGCTAGAACAAAACCAATCCTGAGGCCAGGACTGATACTTCTGGGGCTCCCTGTCCATGGCAAAGTCATTATACTTTAAGTATCAATGTTGACATGCTAAGGGTTATATTGCAGGCTGATGGGGCCTGGTTTTGCTGAGCACCTACTATGTGCCAGGTACAGGCAAGCTACTGAGAGAAGGGATATCCAAAGTAATTGTTAATAAGAGCAATACAACAATCTAAAGGCAACTCTTTATCATCTAATTTAAGGTATTGGTCTAACTCAAAAAATAAAATTGTTAAGGGGCTAGAGGTTAGCTCAGTGGTAAAGAACATGCTACACTTATGCAAAGCCCTTGAGTAAATCCCCAGCACCAAAACAAAACAAAAGCCTGCTAAATTATGGGGCGGAGGATGGGGGATTCTTTTTTACTCTGAACATATTCTATTTTAACAAGACACTTGTGGGAAGTGATAAACAGAAAAGAAAAAAGTACTTCCTCAATCTAAAAACATCAAAGGAAATGCTCATGCTACTGATGGGAGCCAGCAAGTAAATTCCATCTGGCGAGAGAAATATAAACTCTAGAGCCTCTGAAGAAACTGCTGCTCTGTGAAGCTTCTCCCCAATTTGTGATGGTGGGAGGGAATTAACATTCATTGCACATTTATCTGCCACACACTTCTGCTAATCTTCAAGATAGGCATTTTTCCATTTTACAGATGAGGAAACCAAGGCTCTCAGGGTCACTAAACTTTGCCAAGGTTTTTCCTTGAACAGCAGAGCTGCACTGTGAGCATGTGCCTACCCCTCTGCACACATCTTTACATTGCATTGTGACTCTCAGGCAGTGGCTCTCAAAAGGATGCAATATGAGCACATTGTGGACAAAATCCAGGCAAGCCACTGTGCCAAATTTACATCACTGCCAGGACTAGAGGACAGGGGAGAATTTACCATTACGAGTGATTGTTTAATGTCTTAATGCTTTCAGAAGTGGCATGGCAGATTGCTGACAAATTGGCTGAAACAATTTTCTGATGTACTTTGATGATTTTCTGGTGTACTTTGATGAGCTAGTGGGGATATTAAAATGGAGACCCTTTATTAAAATTATCTCCTCTACCCACTATAAGCCTGGTGTGATGGTACACGCCCATAATCCCAGCATCCTGGGCCAATGAGACAAGAGGATTGCCAAATTTGAGACCAGCCTGGGCAACTTAGCAATTTAGCAAGACTGTCCGAGAAGTTAAAAAAATAAAAATAAAAGTAGAGAAGCAGTACCAGCCAGGGATGTAGCTTTCTGTGAAGGCTCAGAACTCAATCTTCAGTGCTGGGAAAGAAAGAAAAATCTTGGGCTGGGGATTTAACTCAGTGGTTTTGCTGCCTGCCTCACAAGTGCAAGGACCTGAGTTCGATTCCCGGGACAAAAAAAAAAAAGAAAAATCTCTTCTATTCTCTTCTATATTGTAACTTTTAAAAGATTTTTAATACGTCTTATTTTTAAATAAATTTCTTGGTTAAGGGAGAGCAAGTATCAAGAGCCCAGAGAATAGCAGTTAGTTTTGAGGTACTTCTAAGATACCCAAGTGTCCATGCAAAGTAGGTGGTGAAGTGGAGCTGAGGCTCAGGAGAGGCTGAGGCTAGAGACAGTAAGCTCTGGACCACTGGCACATAGGGTTACTGAAGTCAAGTGCAAAGACGAGAGCACTTAGAGATTCGGTACTGTGAGTGAGGGCTCCACAGTGTTCACAGTATTAGTCAATTCACACACTGGCATTACAAAATCCTAAGGTCCCCAAGCAAACACAGATGGTCCAAGAATACTCAAAATTCAATGCAAAATTCAAAATGCAATGATGTAGATTCTCTAATCTTCCTCTAAAGACTTAACTCATGTGTTTATAAGAGATCCATTATTTTAAGTAAAAAGTTTCTTCATAAAGTATTTGCAGTCTAACCTCTTAGAAAAGGAGACCAGGCTAGCCAGCCTTATTTCAGGTAATACTTTAAGAGTACATTAAAGAACTTAATCTTTCAGCCCTAGTTACTTTGTCATATTGCATCCATCTCTCCTATTAAGACTAATTTGGTTCTTCAGATGTCTATGTCAAGCCAACAACCATCTAAATACCAAAGTTTACCTAATATCTTTAGTAATAGGAATCAAAATTGCAAAGACTCAGAAATATCCTTTGGAAAACAGACAATTGCAAAAATAAAATGGTCAAATTCATGGGTTATCAAGAATAGTGAATAAAATCCCTAAGTTAGATCTACATGAATCCATTTCATTCCCAGATTAATGAAGGTGGCATCATTGATTAAAGTAATTGAATCTTATTTCATTTATTTCCACCAACAAAATACTTCAGACCTGTTCAATGTGATTATTTTTTAAATCAATATTTCACCCATTTCTGTTGCTCCAAAGTTAGACTGTACATAAGTATAATGTCCTGACAAGGAGAGCAGGTAAATATATAATGGAAACATTTTTAGTGCCATAAATAACCTTCTGAAACATAAAATAATTTCAGTTGTCAAGCTAAATGAACTGTGGACAGACTGAAACCAGCTTTGGAGGGTTTATGTCTAAGAATTTTAATAAGAGGTTATTATGGTCCCTGGTTAAACTAAAACTGAAGAAGCAAAATAAAATCTTTGAAGAGTTACAGAAGTTGTAACAAATGGAACTCAGATGAGACTATTCATATTAAATTAAAATTCTAAGTAATTTATAATTTGAAAGGAAAAAGGTGAGGGATTGCTGTAGTTAGGGTTTGCAAGGGAATAGATTTAATACAGAACACCTAATTCATAGGATTATTTTATAACATTCACTCACAAATGTCAAATGCAGAGGAATGCAAGAGATCTGTCCATGTGCTCCAAAGAATCAGAGGATTGTATCGAGGATGTGCACTGGGAAGGCCCAAAGGCCAGTGGTGGAAGCTAAAACATTTGCACAAGCAGGGTAAAGGGTCTGTGCCACCAAGCTGAGAAATCTGCACTGCAGCCAGGAAGCTATGCTCAAGGCAGAGACCAGAGCTACCCTGAAGAGGCCAGCAGCCATTCCCAGTGGCAGCAAGGACCGGAGTTCCTCTGACAATCAGAACAGCTAAGTTTGTATCAGGAAAACCAGGCTCAGCAAGCTTCTCCAGGAAAATCAACACCCCGTGATCTTTCCCTCCAGTTCTCTCTTTATGCCATTCTCAACAATTCTCAGCTGGGTTTTTCATGCCCAGCCACCATTCTGACTCAGTTCAGCTTGGTGTTCCAAGTTGACCATTAGTTAATCACCATAGGGGTATGATGGAATAAGCCAACAATGAATAAAGACAGATTTGAGGCCACTGTCACAAAAGTATACATATTCTCACTAATGACTGAACAAGATGCTACTGACTAATTCTGCAATTCCAACTAGAATCTATTAAGTCTATGCATTTTAAAAGTGATCATGTAAATCTGAAAATTTCCCATGAAGATAACTTCTTATCACCAAAATCTTTCCAAACTATCGGCATTACCAACTTCACAGGTTTTCTTTGAACGTACAAAAGCTGAGTCTATTAGAGATATGAAATGATTGGGAATGTCTCATCTTCCCAATTCCTATTCTTCTCTTGAAAACTATATGTGACCTCTGGAAAAGCTCAAAGGTTCTCATTTACAGGAGCAAGATAGGAATCAGTTGTGTGAAGTGAACCCACCCAAAAGCAGTCATTTCAATCATGCCCCTTATTTTTTTAAACAAAATAGGTGCTTTCCCCATTTACAGACAAGGAAACAAAACATACACTGGCACAACTTTCCTGCAGTGTGGTCACTTTGAATCCCTTGTACCAAGAACATTCTTTGAAGCAGTCTAAGAACAGACTAGTTAGCCTGACTATCCAATGATAAAATGCCATGCCATCATTAAAAACTGGAATGAATGAGGGCTGAGGTGTAGCTCAGGGTAGAGTACTTGCTTGGCATGAAGGCCTGGGTTCAGTGCCTTAGCACCAACACAATGCCCCTCCTAAACCCCACAACAGTTAATGGTAGAAGAAACTTTTTTTTCAGATTTTGGGATTAGTTGTGGATTCAAATCTCAACTCTGTCATGTATAAGCTTTGATATCTAGACAAGTTATTTATCTGATTCTCAGTCTCCTTCCCTGTGAAACAGATAAAATGGTGCACTTCTCTTAGGATTGTTACAAAATTAAGCAGTTGGCATAGGTCCTGGAATATAGTGCTCAACAAATAGTAAATTTTGAAATGAAGAATCCTATAAAATTTTTTAATCAGTTGTAGATATATTTTGCAATTAACTCATTCTAGTATCATGGAGGACAAAATAGAATCAAACAAAATCTACTCACATATTCTGGAAAATCTATGCTGTGACTGCTGAGTTTTTTTGTTTTTTGTTTTTTGTTTTCTTTTTTAAGAGCTGGGGTGCCCAGTAATCCCTGCACTTAATTTGGGAAGCCCAAACTCTCTCCTATACCATATGTTACCTTGGAAATAATGATGAAATGTTTGACCAAAGCCCAAGTAGACTCAAAACTTCTTGAAGAGATCATTTTGGCCTTACCAGTAAATATCAAGAGTCCTACCTCAGGTGATCATTCCCATTCCAGTCCAGCCTGTTAAATTTTCACTATGAAATCTCCTACTCCAGCTCCCGATTCATACATGCAGAGGCGGCGTTGGTCTGTTCTCCAAAACCCAGCCATTCAGTGTCATCCTGGTTCTAGATCTTGTTAGAAAAACAGAATCCCAAGCCCCACCCCTCCCTACCCCACCCCAACTGAACCACAATCAGCAGTATAACAAGTTCCCCAGGTGAACCAAAGGCATGTTAATGTTTGAAGAGCATTGCCCTAAATAGAGCACCTGCTATTCTTTATTTAACAAGATTAAATTTGCTTTGGACACTGGTACTGTTCATGATACAGACTACATAACTTTTTCTTGTGCATTTTTAGAACTCTTGTTCACTGTTATGTAATAGCAAGAAAAAAACCCTTGGAGCATTTATCTTGATCTGTGAGATTTTGTTTACTGACAAACTTTATCACATCTCAAATTAATTATTAACACAGATTTCTAATTTGTTTTCAGGCTGATAAGCAAATTATTTTAGAAAAACCTGGTCCTGATGTATAAGAACCAACAGCAAAGGTGGAAGGGGTCCAGGGACAAAAGAAAGAGGCAGACAGATCCAGAATTCTATAAAATGCAATTTATTATAGTCTATGGTCAAAACTATGTCTTGGGTAGCAGAAAGACAGGAAAATCCCTGCACCCCAAGAGAGGAGGAAGGCATTTATGTGCAAAGCTAGACAAAGGTGAGTGGCAGTCAGACAAGAACATACGTGGCCTTTCTCTGAAATAAAATGTCTGGCATTACTTAAGAAATGTCATGAATCAGTGGCAGGCACAACATACTAGACTATCTTTTTTTACATGTGATTTTTTGACTCTTCTTGTTTTTATGAAAAAATAAAACATTTTCATAACCAAATAATAAATAGAATAACAACAGCTATTGCACTGTGTATCATTCTAATTTGTTTCATGTAGACTATCTTAATAACTTCATTTGTGCTTTAGGGTTTGGGATGTGTGCCAGAGCCACCTGGCAAGCAAAGTTGGCTGTGACAACAAAAATAACTGTGTCCTATGAAGCAAGATCTCTGCACAAATAACAGCTGAGTACACTACATGTGATTTTCCTAGTATAACTTTCCCTTTAAGTATATTCTTGTCCTTTGTAAAAGATATCTTACAGGTTAAATTCTATTTTCAAAAATGCTATTTAAAAGCGGAATGTACATGTGAAGCTACCATATAGTGAGCACTACTTGATGCCAGACACTACTACATACTCTGTATATGTTATCTACTGTACCTAAGGACATGGCCCTGGAACTATTACAGATGAGATGAAGCTCACACGTTAACAACGTATTTAAGATTACAGTTATTAAATGATAAAACTCATATTAATCTAAACCAGGTAGGGCCCATAAATCTGTACTATTATTCCTGTTTGTGCAACATGTTCCACGGAATGTTTTGTTATAGTCAAAGTCAAATGAGAACTAAATACTGTGAAGATTCCTCTAGTTAAAAAAAAAATCTATTACCCAAATTTGTTTATGGGGTGCTCCCCCTATAAACAATTGAAGTGAATTCTGAGATCAACTCTTTAGATATAGACTACAATATACTGACCTTTACAACTTGAGTATTCCTCCTCACCCAGGGGGTCTCACAGTGTTGCCCCCAACTGGCTTCTGAACACAAACCTCCTGCCTGGGCCTACTAAGTACCTGGGACTGCAGGCACGGTACACAGCTTTAAGGATGTTCATAGAATTCCCTTATCAACTAACAACTTTAAGGCCTCTTAGGCATGCTTCAGGGAATTCAAATCCTTGCTTATCAAAGGTATTGGCAGAACTGGTTACCCAAGAAATTTTATGAGAAAAATACTTTCTAGATTAGAGGAGCTCATGTACAAGGGCAAAGGTAAGTCACAGGCCTGAAAACCAAGGAAGATCTGGAGAGCAGAGCAATAAAAACTGGGTTAAAATCCTGCCTTTATGGAGTTTACATTTTATAGGACGCAAACAAATGTGAAATTTAGAAGTTCCATAGAGAGGACTGGGGACATGTAGCTCAGGGGTAGAGGGCTTGCCTGGCGTGCATGTGGCCCCCAAAAAACAAAACAACAAAGGAGTCTCATGAAAAATAAAGCAGAGGAAGGGAAGTACACAGGGGGTGGAACAGTGTAATCTAAAGAATAGATGGTTCTCAGAAATGCAACATCTAAAAAGAGACAAAAGTGATTTAAAAACTGTATAAATATAATTACATTTACCTCTCCCCTCTCCTGATTCACTACCACCATTATTAATAACTTGCAAGGAAGATAGGAGACAGAGATTCTGAAGAAAACTGGGAATGTCTCTCACTCAGGGACACTAGGTACATAGGTCAGGAAAACACAGTTTGCTTACAGAGAGATGGAACCTCAGCTTAGTTCCTAGTACAGTTCTGAAGAACCACTATCCAGAATTTTTTCATTAGAGAAAATGAACACCCTGAGAAAAGACGTACAGATACTGACTCAGGAGTGGATCCAACAAAAGACACCTTATCACTTGACAATGCCATAGTGAAGCCAACAGTCAATAAGCCCCTGCAGACACAACTGTCAATCACTCTTTAGTACTTCAGTCCTTAACAGATATAGACAGAAGTGGGGGAATGCCTAATTGGAGAATAGAAAATGGTACATACACTTTGGAAGATAGTTTGGCAGTTTCTTACAAAACATATTCTTACCATATGATCCAGCAATTGATCTTCTTGGTATTTATCCAAAAGAACTGAGAACTTATGTCCACCCAAAAACTTACACATGGATGTTTATAACAGTTTTATTTGTAACTGTGAAAACTTGGAAGCAAGATGTCCTTCTGTAGGTAAATGGATTAAGCACTAAAAAGAAATGAACTGCAAAGCTACAAAAGACATGGACAAAACTTACATGTACATCAGGAAAGAAGCCAAGGCTACATACAGTATGATTCCAATTAATGACATTGAGAAAGGCAAAACTATAAATAGAAAAACCAGTGTTTTCAAGGGATTAGAGAGAAAGGGTAGGGGTGGATGAACATAAATCAGCACAGAGGATTTTTAGAGCAGTGAAACTATTCTATACAATTCTACTGTGAACAAATATCATTATAAATTTGTTCAAAACCATAGAGTGTACACCACCACCAAGAGTGAACCTCAAGATAAGACAGGACCTTCCAGTGATAAGGCTGTGTTAATGTTAGTCCATCAGTGGACACAAACCCACCACTCTAGTGAGGGACAGACATACTGGGGAGCCAGTGTTTGTGTGGAGCCAGAGGGTATACAGTAAATCTCTCTACCTTCCTCTTAATTCTGCTCTGAACCTAAAACTACTCTATAAGTCTTATTTTTAAAAAAGAAAAACGACACAAGATATAGACACACACACTTGTAATCCTAGCTGTTTGGGAGGCTGAGGTAGGAGGACCACAAGTTCAAGGTCATCCTAAGCAACTTTAGTGAGACCCTAACTCAAAATACAAAAATAAATGTCTGGGGATGTAACTCAATAACCCGAGGTTCAAAATCCCTAGTAATGAAAAAACAAACAAACAAAAATCTTCCATTGTCAGGATACTGCCACAAACAAGCAGGTAAACTCCTTTAAAATGAATCCAAATCTTGTCAAGTAGAGCATGGTTTCTTGAAAGTATTCTTGCCTATTAACACTGGCTCTCAATTCTTTTCTATAGCAATAAGATTGGTTATATTCCTACATGGGATATTTGCTGAGGGTTAGCGATGAATCTATTCTTATTAACCAAAGAAAAAAATTAAGACCTATCAAGTTTATTAGTAACAACTAAAGTTATGATCCACTAACAACCACGACTACTGGAACCCATGACGGAACAGCATGAGTCTGAACTAAGTGACCACTTATCAGGTCAAACTAATCTACTACAGATCAGAAAAGAAACATTAGTTTCATTTTTTTCTAATGATCACTGCCACAAGAATTCAACTAATAAAAACATCCAAAATAATCTTTCATAAAACTTTAGCTTTAAATTAATGTTAACTAAATGTCTTTAATATTGTTTCAATTTTCCATATAAACATACGAAAAATTCCTGAAATGCAGATTTAAATAATTACACTTGACTTTCTTTTAATTTTTATTAAAAACAAAGAAATTCTGTTGAACAATTTATAACTCTGCTGTTTGAAACAGCTTTTATTCCTGTTAAAGCTTTATATTTAAAAACACCTACACAATGTGTTACACAATGCTGGAGTATTAAACTTAACCACACCTGTGACTTTAGCAGCTTTATTGCACAATGATCAATGTAACATTGCGTAATTGCTTAACCTATGTCATAAAGTGCTATTCATAGACAGGAGGCAATAAAGATGACTAAACACACATCCTCCGTCATATTTTCTATAGGGCAGGAGGGGTCTAATGTAGTGCTACTTATCTGAAGAACATATTTCTCTTTAAAAATGAGAATAAAAGACATTTCCCAAGAGTTTGGGTTACTCTGTTAAAATGTGTCAATAGCACTCCATAACTAATCAATGCTATAATATATAATGGTCATAGTTTCTGAACATTTTAACTTAAAAAATAAGCAGTTTAAATAAAAATCACCTAGCTAAAAGAATATCTTTCAAAAATGAAGATAAAATGTAATTCTTCCAATTAAAAGAAATGTCAATATTTAAAAAGGTACAATGATTATTTCAGTTACTATTCCTAAACCATTAATTTTTTATTTTTATTTGCTTATACTACAGATTCTTATTACCAAAAATAAACTGTAGAAAATGCCATACAACCAATTAGTTACTCCATATTTTGTAATATATTTAATGCTACTAAAAATATGAGCTTTTCAGACTTGTTAACATAAACCAGGAAAATCTGATACATTAACATTTGTGCCCCAAAAATGAAAAACACAAGACACAGAAAAGGCAAAAGAATAAAGATGACTTCAAAATTCCATCTTCAATAATATTGCTAAAAAATAATTCTTTGATGTAAACACAAACATTTTCACAGAGTAGGAAATAATGAAGATTAATTTTGAAAAAAAAAAAAA